ATTATTATTATTATTATTATTTGAAATAAGTTTTAATGATAATAATGTTTTATTTAATGTTAATGATGATAAACGATGTAAAAAATTTTTTGTACCAACATATAAATTTTCATTAATAAGAAGAATTTTTTCAATTGAATTATTTAAATCATTTTCAATTATATCAATTGAAAAACTATTTATAGTTAATATTAAATAACTAATTAATAAAATTGAAAACATACTAAAAACAACAACAAAAAAATTAAACTTAAAGGATTAATTGTAAAATAATCTGAGATATAATCGAAATTTTTGTTATTCAATACAACCGATGACAAAGAGGATTACTGTTTGCTGTCTATGTTTATTCATACACACACACACATATACATATCGAATGACTTCTTCTATTCGATGTTCATCTATTCACATCCGGCATCAAAACTAATCTATCATTTTCTTTTTTTTTCTTGTTTTTACTTTACCTGACTGCCATCTTCTCGTTCGTGCATATAAAGACTTGTCAATTTTTGAAACGAGAGTAAAGAAAATGAAGCTGTATGTATATATATATAAAATAATTTTCTTGCTCTCGTCCACTACTTTTTCTCTTCGCTCGCTCTCTCTCTCTCTCTCTGTCGGTCATCGTAGAACGAAAGAAGAGAAAAAAAAATACAGAAGGAAGAAACAACAGGAGGCAATTAGAGCAGATGGCCAGGTGATTCATTTGAGCAGAAAATTAAGTTTACTATCACTATGTCATAATACTAATGACTTGAAGGATTTGATTGATGATATATGATCATTATCCTGTTCGATATCAAAATTCAAAACAGGAAACAGATTTAATTAACTTATTTTATATCTCATATGAATAAACAAATTGTTCAATGTAAGAAAGATAAGTCAATAGAAATACAAACAGATGGTTTTTTGTTTTATCAAATATTCTCTTCTCATAAATAATAAGAAAAATATTTCTACTAGAATAAAATCTATCAGATGTTCGGAATAACTCAATGGACCTCTATACTAGAATAGACTATTGTAGGAATTCAACAATTCTTCGAATTATGATATTGATTGATTTAAGGAAGAAAAATTTTATGTTATCAATGAAATCAAAATTGTGAAATAAACAAAAGAAGTGATTGTTCAATCAAATAAATGTAAATTAATTTTTCTATTAAGATCAGATTTCATTATTGCATTTGCAAATTTCTCGAATTTTGATACTTTCATAATGCAATATGAATATTGAGTAGAATTTTTTTAAATTACCGTGACTGTATAACGATTTCGAAAGAGAAAAGCAGTTGAACTATTTGAAAATAAGAGCGACTCATTCTATAATTTTTCTTGTATCAACAAGTAAAAAAAGATGCAAGAAATTTCTTAAGATTATAAATTATCGATATTGGCAATGCTCATTATTCCTCTTCTTCCATCAAATTGATTATTTAATAGTTGAGTCAATTTATTCGATGTTCACTATATAAAATATTCATCAATATACGATCAATTTCTTTTTTTTTTTTCTTTGCCGACGAAACAGTTGAGATCAATGAATTCAATACAGATTACTTTTAGACATATAAGCGAGACAAAAATAAAAAATAACAATGACCGGATAGAAAATGTCTGTTTGTAATCGATCTTTAATATTCATTGAAACAAAACAAAAAAAATGAGAATGAGACGATTTTTTTTCTCTGTATTTTTGTTTCAATTAGTTCCAAACTGTAAATTTAATTAAAAACAAAAAAAGAAGATATTTGAGTTATATTTTCAAAAGTTAATATTATTTTATATCAATAAATGATCAATTGGTGTTAAATTTCATCTCATAGAAAATCATATTGAAGTATCTCTCTCAACTATTTTCTAATTATTTAGAATTAGATTGATGATTTTATCCATAAGCAAATTGGATTATTATTATGTTTTTTTTTTGCTTCGTTCAATAGAATTTCCATTCTTTTTTTTTTTGTATATGTTATTGGAGAAGATGAGATTATCACAATTTATTTTTTTGGTGTAAAGCTCTTAGATAAACAAACTTCTTTAACAGGAAACTGTTTTCTTGAGTATAAACATAATATGTTGCTATTGCTTGGATAGAAATTATTTTCTTTTGTTTTTCCGTCTATCTAACAAATTGACTGATATTAGGGTTAACCAAAGGCTAATTTCAATGTTAGGGTTTTTTTAATTAATGATTGATTGTTTATATGTCTTTTATTTTTATTTTTTAAGAATGTGCTAGATGATCTTTTCTAGTTGAAGTAGAATTACAATTCTTACGAACATGCATGACAATAATGACATGCATGGTTGTTTTATATACTGTATGAAGCCATAATATGATGTATTTGATAGCATTTGTATTGCATCGTGTTATAAACGATTGAACGAGTTAGGTAATACACGATTTATAATACAAGAGAATACCACAGGAGGTCTTCGTTCAGCTTATGCAAAAAAAAAATTAGAGTATGATTCAAATGATATTCTAATGAGATATTTAATAACAGTCGAATTATTCCATTGTCTTTAATGCCTTCATAGATTTTTCAGATTTATCTTATAGAATGACAATCAACAAAATCTATATAGACATAAAAGCTTTAATTCTTTTTGTAGAGCTTATATATATTTTTGAAGAAAATAGTTAGTAGAAGTTTTATCGAGGGTTTTGGGCTTCTCCGTCCGTCGTACTCCGCATAGGCCGTTAAAACTGGTGGTCAGAGAAGAAAACTCAAAGATCATTGCATATGTTTCCATAGAAACAGGGGAGGACGAGAAGGAGATCAATGATCTTTAGGTATTTTTTTCAAGCGACAGGAAAAGGCGTGTCCGTAATAACAATGCTTAGATCGTTCTCGAACTTTCTAAAATCTTCTCAAGTATTTGATGAATCTAAGATTTCTACTCTAGATTCTAACTAATCTAAATATTGCAGATTTTAGTATTTAATGCAGTGAAAGAATTCTATTGTAGATGTCAATCAATAGAGTGTTGGTATTATTAATCTAGCAGAATCAGAATAGAATGGATATAGAAAAGTATGAACTAATTGAATTCTAAGTTTAGACAAAACTCAATACAAGGTGAGTCAAAAGTCACTGGACAGTCTTTAATTTCGAATAGCTTTTAATAGGATCAACATAAAAAGCTGCGACTTTCACCATTCAAAATAGGATCTATTACTATGAAATTCTATGTATTATTCAAAAATACAGATTGTTGACCTAATAATCAGTTAGTAATTCTTAGCAAGATTTTGATAACTCTATGAAAAGGACGACATAGAAGTTCGATTCGTGTATTCACAATGTACGTTAAGACCAACAACCGGACCTATTATCTTCTTCCGATAGAGAGTTTCAGATGCAACACTAGATAGTGATAATGACGAGCGTGATTCATAGGTGTACGATTCTACTGTACCCTTTAGAATTGAACTTCGATATAATTTTCATCGAGCTACCAATATTTTACCAAAGATCACTGACTAATTATCATGGCAACAAGCAGCACTATTGACTAGTACATAGAACTACGTAGTAATAGAGTCTCTTTTGAATGATGAAAGCCGCAGCTTTCTATCTTGATCCTATCAAAAGTTATTCGAAATAAAAGACTGCTCGATGACTTTTGATTCACTCTGCATCATAAATTTATAACAGTGAGAGTTTGTGAGTTCCACACATTGCTCCCTCATGGGGGTCGTACTGGCAACATTCTTTTGATATGTCTGAATGATTAAGAATAGATTATGATACACATGTCAAATCAATGATTCGAAAGAAACAAATGCATGAGCAATGATAATTATTGTTTTCATTCTTCTTCGAATGTCTTATTTCATCTGTTGAAATAAAATGAACATAAATATAAATAAGAGTCAATGGTTTAATTATCTGTATCAATGAAAAATGTCTGAATCGAACACCATCTAGTGTTCATATTAAAACACCATCTATCGAATATGGAAATATAAAAATAATCAATCGTTTGATAATTAGTTCTGATTATCAATATGTGATATTCAATTTTAATAAACTTTGATAATCAATATTTGAATAAAGTCTGATGAAATAATTCTGTTTGGTTAATATAAAAGTCGAATCAAATTCTTGTTGGTAAGACCTCAATATACATATATATATGTATATATATATGTATATATATGTTTTATTATTGACCAGGTAAATCGATCTTTCGTGCAGTAAGTACTGCGCGTTGATCATGCCAAAAGCAAATCCATCATTATCATTTGTTTCTCCTCATCCACCAATTCCACTACCTGATCATCATAATCATCCAGTAACACGTCGTTCTTCCACAATACTTAATGAAGCCTCAAGTCTACCTCCACCTGCAAATGCTGTGTCCTCGAACACACACACCGAGCATGAAAATGATGATTATCAAAACAAACAAATAATTAGTTTGCCCTTCAATTGGCAGGTAAATATATATATTTTTTAAAATAAGAGTCACTCTTTATATTTCTGTATTGAGAATAAAATTGAAATTTGATCAAATTTCGAATTCAACTAGAGATAAATTCATATAATCGAAATAAATAAAAATTTGAATAGAATAACTGTTGTCTTAATCAATAATATATTTTTTATTTTCGTAAATACTTTAGTCTATTCATCCATATTTGTACGAGCATCTCGCTTGAAATGAGATTATGTCAAACAAAAAAAAATTCCCTTTTTTTGTTTTTAATATACGGTAAGAAGAAATTTTCCTAGATATATTTGAATAGTGTCTAAGTGTAGACATTTATAATACAAATAAAAGTTTAAAATAAAGAAACAAAGTGTTGATAAATTATTCGAGGTTTGTAAATGTTCTTCCATGTTTCATCGGTCACATTTTCTCGTTCACATTGTAGCTTTTGGATTCCTATTTCAAACTAGTTTAATGGCATTAAAATAAGAACTATAATTTATCCATTGAGTTAATTCAATATGATATGATTAATTAGAAAATACGGCTGATGAAGTATAGAATGATCTATAACCAAATATAATTCAAAAAAACTTAGACAATGTATTGACACTTTGTATCTTCGTATTAAATTTTTATTTGTATTTATAAACGTCTATATTTTATGCTCAAAATACTATTCGCAATCATTTTGTCGTTAGTAGTATATTTATTTTGACAGTATGAATTTATCTCTAGTCGAATCTTAATTTTGTCCCGATAAATTCGAAATTTGACCAAATTTTAGAATTTCTCCTGTACAATATATATATATGCATATATTTTTAGGCTTCAAAATTTTCTCTTAATGATCGTATATCTGCATTATGTTTAAATGAATATATGGCTGATATACATTTTGAATTAAATGACAGTGATGGATTAATTCCTGCACATAAATTTGTTTTAAGTGTTGGTTCTTGTGTATTTGAAGCTATGTTTCAACGAAATAATGAATCATTATCATCAATTATACATGTACCTGATATG